TTCATACCTTATGCCTTATTCAAAATGGACCCTAGGACTCAGCGTAGAACTAAAACCTTTGAGAGTTCTAGCAGAAAATCTTTGAGTTTGGTTCCTCTTTTCCTCTTTATTTTTATAGTGAGGCAGGGCCTTCTAAGTTGCTGAGTCTGGCCTCTAACTTGCAATCCTCCTGCCTCAGCCTCCTGAGTCACTAGGATGACAGGCATGTGCCATTAAACCCAGTTAAGCACCTATTTCTTAGATACAATACCAAAGTCATGGTCCACAAAACAATGAACTAATAATAAATTGGACTTTATGGAAATTGAAACCTTCAAAAGACACTGTGACGAGAGTGAAGGGAAGGCAGGGACAGGTATGTGCATACGTCTGACAGAAGGCTTGTGTCCAGGATACATAGAGTGCCGAGAACCCAAGACTGTGGAGCGCTTCACCAGGGGACATGCGAGGGCGCCCAGGAAGAGTGGTCCAGGGCAGCGTGGTCAGGGTGTGACACACCACTGCGTTCCCACTCCATGCCCAGAGCTCCGGCAGCTGTGGACAAAGTGGTGGGGCTGCCTCGGTGGCTGGCTTGCAGGTGTCTTTGGAAGTTCAACACATGCCCACAATGTGGCCCAGCAGTCCCCCTGGATATTTACCACAAGCTAACGAGAGCGTTCACGCATGCAAAGACCTCCACAGCACGCGCATGGCCACCTTCTTCCAAGAGCTCCAACCGGAACCGGCCCAAACCCATTCATGGGCAAATGAATGAGGGTGACCCACCCCAGGGAACGGCCCACAGCAATGCCAAGGAGTGGATTTCCGGATAGTTTAGAGTAAAAAGGGACACAGGGCAGAGCCGTGGCCTTCTGATGCCGTTCATACCGAGCGCCGGCCATGCGAACCCCTCTGTGGGGACAGGCTGGGAAGGGGGCAGGGGGGAGCCGTTGGGGTGAGGCAGGTTCATTATGTTGGTCGTGGTGATCCATACGTGACACTTGTCAAAGCGTGCCCCTGAAACACGTCGGGCTTGTGTGTCAATCACACCTCAATGAAGCTGTTGAAGATAAGGTGGGTCCAGCGGATTTTAAAAATCTGGGTGTATCCTGCTTAACCAGAGGGTGGGAGGGCGGGGTGCGCACGGTGTGGTCCCTCCCTGAGGTGCCAGGGAGGAGTGTGCGCTGGGACGGGACTGTGGGCTGGGGAAGGGCTCCCACAGGGCCACTCACCCGAGGTTTGGCCAGAAGAGTACAGAGACAGGACACCTTGGTTGCCTATGTAGAGGGCGGGGACGCCGAAGGTCTCAAACAGGATCTAGGGGGACAGCAACCACGCTGGCAGCCAGGCCCAGACGGGCAGAGTGCAGGCTCCAGCGCTGCGTAGCCCACAGGGGCAGAGGGGCTCCGAGGCGCGCCCCTCCCCAGCCCTGCGAGCCCCTCCCCATCTGCGGAACACCCTCCGGGCTCCTCCTGGGCAGCAGGCCCCTCTGAGGAGGGCAGTGAGGTCTCCCGCAGCCCCTGCCGCCCCAGAGGCCCCTTGGAGCACGCTCCCTTCACTGGACACGCCCTCCCTTCTGCAGCTGGGAGGTGGGGAGGTTGTTCCTCTGAGGGGCCTGGACACGGGCGCCTGGTGCCTCGCTGGTGCAGACGTGGTGTGTTCCAGAAACATGGCCCAGGCGTCCACGGGGAGCCAGGGCAGGAGTGGCCAGGCGAGACCAACCTGGCTCTTCCCACACAGGTACGTGGCGGCCCCTGGCCACAGGAGACAGAAGGCAGGTGAGCAGGTGGCCCTGAGGCTGAGCACGGGCGGCTGCTGGCTGGGCCCTGCACCTGAGACGGTGGCCGTGAGCTCCACCTGCAGGGAGGCCGTGCTCTGAGGGCTTTGAAGACCCTTGTGCAGTGTCACTGGGGTGGATGAAAGGCACCTCTGTCACCTATACTCTAGACAGGACCACATAGGACTCATGTCCAGGGACAGTGACTCTGAGCTGGAGCTGCACGTGGGCTTCGGGGCTCCTCTGCGCTGGGTCGCTGGGTCTCTCCCAGCCCTTCTGCACATGGAGGCTGTCCTCAGGTGCCCCGCAGCTGGCCCAGGACAATTAGAGCAGGTACATACTGGCTCTGCACGTGACACCCAAACGAGGGCAGTGGTAGGGTGTGGACTTAACCACCCACCCAGAAGGGGGACTGGCTGGCCTCAGGCGGGGCCGCCAAACTGGGTCAAGGCAACGTGTTAGAGCCGCACGCTGAGCTGCGCGGGTCACGGTGAGGGGCTGACAGCGCAGAGCCAGGAGCCTTCCGGGCAGTTTTCCATCACTGTCGCCAAACTACCTGACTCAACCTGTCCCTTTGTTCAGGCCGTGGCCTGCTGACTCCGTTGCTCTGGAACATCTTGGGGAAGGGCGTGGTGGGGGAAGCTGGCAGCTCTGAGCAGCCAGGGTCAGGATACACTCCCCAAGGACACAGCCCAGTGACCTGCTCCCTGCACCCACGCCCCGCGGCCCACAGCTCCTCCCCTTCAGTAGCCCACTCCGTCCAGGGACGACACCGTGAGGCAATCACTTCCCGCCTCGAACACAGATGCCCTGGGGACATGAGCTTTGGGGACCGTCCAGTTCCAACCACGCGGGCAGCAGCAGCACTGAGGTAGGCGGGAATCCACCCGAGGGAAACCCTGTGCTCACGCGGCCTGGCCCAGGCGGGCTCCTCGCGGCCACTCCCACAGGAGCACCAACCGCAGATCCCCTCCAAAGGAGTCACAGCGGGTGGACCCACCAGAGTGGGTGTGTCTGGAGGCACGATTCCAACAGGGAGGGCTCCAACTGGAGCGCTGGCTCCCCAAACCGCCCCACCCTGCCCACCTGCCCAGGCCTGAAGGTTGGGAGCCCAAGGTCGTGGAGCCTGAGGGTCATGAGCTGCGGGGTCTTCCGGGCCCCTGCAGTCTGACTCCTGTGGCTCAGGGGGGAACAGGCCTGGGAGCCGTGGGGCTGGAGAGCTACGGGGCTTTCAGGTACCAGCTCATTCTTCCTCACCGTGACCCCAGGGGTCCGTTGTTGTCCTCCAGATGAGGACACTGAGGCAGAGCCAGGACCCTGACCTGCCTGAGGCCAGGTGTGCGGCAGAGCCAGGCCAGGACCAGGTGACTCAGGGCCGGGCTCCCTGTCCAGCCCCTGGCTCCTCTTCAGGAACATGGCTTTCC